ATAGTCTTTATAGTTGATTTTAGTGTAATTAATAATTTACTGTTTAAATATTTTATATGTTACAGTAAATTATTAATTATTATCAATCTATTAGTTTCATTTTCTTAAAATGATTTTACATCCAGAGGTTTGACTCTCATTGATTTGAAAAACATACTAATGACATCAACCTTAAGTAAATATACAAACACAGAAAAGAGAAATAATCCATATTCTAATTAACAGAAATATATTATCAACAGTTTACTTGTATTTTGTAGCAATTTGATTTGAAGAATAAGTTCATTTCATTATGTAAATTAAATCAACATTCAAAACAAGAACGCTCTTCAAAACAAAACTACAGAAAACAAAACTGTTTATATTATTCTAATATTCTGTTTATATTATTCTAACAAACTACAGAAAACAAAACTGTTTATATTATTCTTCGAGGAGTCAGTGAGAAGCAGAAGATTAATGGTTTCACTTTTAATTTATTTTTACAGTTTAGCAATTAATTTTTAACAGATGGTTTAACAGTATATATATATATATATATATATATATATATTTCAGATTATATTCAATTAAATTGATATCATCATATAACTATCATGGATAAAAATAGCTCCTGAAGGTTATGACATATGTTATCCAGCACATTTTATATTCATATTTTTGTTTCCTTTTAAAATTTTGCTTTTTTTTTTTTTCTGGTTTTGATAGTAATATTTCTATTATTCTTAATAAATACATTAAACTTGTTTATTTAGAGAAGCCTCTGTTAACCTGCCTCCAGTTAGTTGAGGGTTGACTGTATATGAAAGCAAAGTAGTATTCCTGTGTATGCAGATTTTAAGCATGTTTCAGAAACTATCAAAAGTAGGAATCTTGTAATTTATCTTTGTAGTATTCAATAAATAAATAAATAAATAAATAATAATAAAAAAAAATCTGTTCCTTTTCTGAGATTGGGAAAGTACTTTTTTTTATTTTAAAGTGTCATTGGTTTTTCCCATTTATACGTAAGAAACTGACAGCTTCTAGCAGTTCTGTATTTAAAGTTTTTAGCATCTAGGGACAACTGAAGATCTTGTGCCCATCTCTTGTTTGCCAAGAGTGGAAAGTATTTCATTCTAAAAAATTGTAACATCAATTTGGTGCCCACTGGAAGTTTCACCTGGGAACAAATGCCCCTGGTTTCTAGAACACATTTCTTATCATTTGAATCTTTGAAGTATTGGGCTGCCAGCTGTTTATTGTGAATAATGCAACAAGCAAAGAAAGACTGATAAGGTAGAATAATTTTGAGAAATGCACTTAAGAACAGTATTTTCTGTGTTCACTGCAGATGTTATGTCTATTGCAATACTGATTAAATCATTTAATGGAATGTTAACATTTCTGAAAGCTGTGTGAAGTGCATTTTAAATGTCAACAGTCTGTGTTATTTCTTTTAATGCTAAAATCGTGTTTGCTTTACCAGTACGTCAGAAGAAATATGATAAATTATTAAAACAAAGAATACTAAATAAACTCCTGAAGAATTATGATATTAGTTTCTTGAAAATAAAATATAAATATGATGCCATTAATTGGAGCATGTGTTTTATCTATATAGATTTATTGGAAAATCTAAGCTAAGTACTTCAAAACTTGTTAAATCATTTTGTATTTTAATATAAAAATAATTTGTTTACATAATTTGTAGAAACCTTAATGAAAGTTTTCATTAAAATTAAGTTTTAACTAATTTTAATGCTTGAGTTTCTTAAAATATGTATTCTATAAACTGTGATATGAAAGGAATATCAGTCAGCATAATTTTGTTAGTTAAGCCGTGTTAAAGAATCAAAGTCCTTGTAATACAGTGTATTATTTCTACTATCTGTCATAAAAAACTGTTATTAACAGTACATTGGCAATATAACATTTGTACAAAAAACATGAATTTTGCATGGGCCTTTTCTTTGGCAAAGCATGGTGTAACTCATTTTTATATACTAACAGATTTGATACTTATACTGTGGGTAAAAAAAGTATTTGCACACCTACATTTATGTTTGCAATTCATAAAAAGAAGCATTAAGAAATAAAAAAAAATGGATATTGCGAAATCAGAATAAGTTTAATCATCCAAAACAAACAGAAAAATTACAATAATATAAATAACAATGCTTTTTTGTAACAAAATTAACATATCTCGTATCAAAAAAGTATTTGCACACCTGCATGAATAAAATGAAGGAAATAAAATATATAAGCAAATTTCAAATAACTAATATTTGGTATGCATTCCTTTAGCATCTATTACTGCTTGTAATCTTGCTGGCATTGATTTAATTAAAATTTTTGTAACAGTGAGGTCAGTATTCGACCACTCTTCAATAAGGGCTTGTTTAAGGGCAGATTTGCTTGAAATCTTCCTTTTTCTTATTTTTAAATACAAAGAATTCCACAAATTGTCAAAGGATATTTAAGTCTGGTAATTGTGGTGGAGTGGCAAGTTTTCTGGGTACATTATAAAGCAACCACATACGTGTTATACCGGCAGTGTGCTTGAGATCATTGTCTTGCTGAAAATAGTACGAATTACTGATACCCAATTTTATTGCACTTTGTGGCAAGTTATGGCGCAACACATCAATATATGTTCGAGCTGTTATATTCCCATCAATGAAACACAAATTACCAACTCCTTTGCTAGCCATGCAGCCCCAAATCATAACAGAACCTCCTCCATGTTTAACTGTAGGTAACACATTTTTGGTATGAAAAGTAGTACAAGGTATTCTCCAAACTAATTTCCTGCCATCTGATTTAAAGATATTGAACTTACTCTCGTCAGAGAATATGACATTTTTGCAGAAGTCAATTGGCTTATTGATATATTCCTTAGCGAATTCAAGTCTGCTCAGTCTATTTCGTTCACTTATGAGAAGGTTTTTCCTTGGAGATCTCCCATAAATGTGTGCATCGTGCAGGACATTTCGGACACTTTGGGCACAGATTTGAACTCCAGATGTTGAAGCGACATCATTTGCTAAAGTAATTGCACTAAAAAATGGATTTTTCGATGCTTCTCTTATGATTTTTCGCTTCATTCGCAGTGAAAGTTTCTTTGGGCATCCAGAGCGCAAGTTATTTGTAGATCCTCTTTCTTTATGATGTTTTATAACATACCGAACAGTAGAGAAGCAAGCATTTACATTTTTACCTATTTCTCGATAACTTAGGCCATTTTCACATAGAGAAAAAATTTTTTCTCGTAACGAAATCGGCAATTCAGATTTCTTAGGTGCCATTACAATTTGAAATTGACAATCAACTGATAACGTTTCAACAACACCTCCTTTTATAGTTGTCTTACGTATGTTATATACTGCGAAATGACTGTCAAATAATAGCATAAAAATGCAAATTTGCTAAAGATCAGTTGAGTGTGCAAATACTTTTTTGACACAAGCTATTTTAATATTGTTGCAAAAAAATTTTTTTATTAATATTATTGTATTTTTTTTTTTTTGTAATTAATTTAAATGAATAAGCTTATTCTATTTTTTAAATGCCAATTTTTGTATTTCTTAATGCATTTTCTTATAAATTGTAAACAAAAATGTATGTGTGCAAATACTTTTTCTAACCAATGTATGTTATTCCATTACTGGAAATGTTGCCACCTTTCTCTCATGATTTTGCACCAATGACTTAACTGTACATAGCAAATCATTTCCTATAATATTTTTCTGCATCTGCTAAAGCATTTCTATGAATGAAGTAATATGCAAAACACAGTATCAGAGATTTTGATTTATGCTTGAGAATACTGAAGCTTGGAAGACTCAAAAAATTATTTTTTCCCTCTTTTTTTATGTTTTATCGTGAAATTCTTAAATTCATCACCAAGTATGTATTTAAATTGTCAGCTGATTTTTGACTTTGGCTGTTTTTTCCCCCTACCCCCTTACCAAAAAATATATATTGTTTTAACACTATGAATGTGGCATTCACTTGTGGACATTTTTTTTTTTCACTCTCCTCCTTAAGTATATAATCAAGTTCTATTCTGTTACTATCCAGTGGGATGAAAGGGTTTTTATATTTATTGATTATTATTATTATTTTTTTTTTTTTTAACTAAGTAAGTTTGTCATAGCCAAGCACCGAATTCAGATTAGAAAAGATTGTTTGCTGTTTGATATAAAACTGAATGCATTTTCAAGTTGATAAATAATTTCATGCTGAAATCAGAACATTTGTAGTCCTGCATCAGATAAAAATTTACTGTTGTATGAATTGTATTATGTTGTATGAATCTGTTGTATGAATCTTAAACTGATAAATAACATGAAAGCAAGTGCATAAATATATACAGGGTGAATATGATGTTCTGTTTGTTTCTGACTGATGTACAGAGCTTGCTACAGCTATGAATGTGATGTCTAGGTAGTGAATGTACATAATGTCTAGTTAGGAATCTAAAAGGACGTTATATGTATGAAATAAGATCAGTTGCAGCACCTCCTGATGGCATAATTCAAAACTTCATGATCCTACCCCAATCCAGGAAAAAAATCAGTTGCAAAATTATAGAGCATCATTGATTTAATATGAAAAGATGAATTGATTTAATATGAAAGATATATTTGGTGGGTATGATAAACAGTTAGGTGCATGTAAAATGTCCAAAACTGATATGCAGCATTTTCTTTGTGCAAAATGATTTTCTCAAAAAAAAAAAAAAAAAAAAAAAAAAAAAAAATTTTTTTTACACTTGCCAAAAAAAAAAAAAGTTTTTGTACAAAACTAGTAATAGTTATTTTGATTAAAATTCAAAACTTTATCTTAATTTCACAAAGTTATATTCACTTAAAATAGAATGCCGTGGATCTAACTGAAGATTTACCATATGCTTTTATTTGCAAATTGCAAAAGATTTTTCTTTTGTTAGTTAACATTTTAATAAAAGTTTAACTTTTAAATTACTCTTAAACTTATTTTGTATATTTTCTTTTTAGCTGTTGGATTACAACTAGGAGATGAAACTATACTGAGGAGTATTGTAACAGCATTACACATAAATGGTCACCCAATTACAGGACAGAACAAGCCAAAAGCACTACTAGACAAGAGTCCTGGAGTTTATATTAATCCTACACAGCCTTTAGTATTGGTAAATATATTTTCATTATTTTATTTTCCTGTTTTATATATTTGTTTTTAGTTATAATTTGTATAGTTAGTAATTGAGATATAATTTGTATTTTTTAAAAAATTGAAAAGAAGAAATAATTTATTAAAATAAAGTAATGTGTAGATTAAAACATGATCTTAAACTACTAAAGTAGTAGCAGACATCTTACCTTCAACAAATCTGCTGTTATTTTGAAGACCATTCTTCGATAGAGGACATTTTATGTTTTGAATTGTAAACTTAAACTAATTAATTATGCTGAGATACAGTTACTGTTAAAGTCAAAAAGCAACACTAAACCACCACTAATAAATAGCAACACTCAATGTATGGGCTCGGAAGAAAACTTCATGGACTTGATCTACTTCTGCACTTAATATAGAAGCAAATTCTTGTAAAAACATACTGCTGCTATCTAGTGATTTATTGTGAAACTTTTGAGTTTATTTGTTTTGCTTGGAAAAATGTAATATTTGTGCTGTATTGTTCCATTATTAACTCCAATTAAAAAAAAAAAAATTTGGAGTTGTATTTTTTGCTCTGAATTGTCTGAGCAGAGGATTTAGCAAGAACAGACAACTGCTGATAAATATGTAGCTCAATATTATTATATATTTATGAAAGAGAAGAAAAAAACAGGATTGAAATGATATGGGATCATGTTCATTAAATGTAAACAAAATTAATGTACAGGCAACTCTGGCTGTCTTACTACCCATATATTTTGAAAAAGAAAAAATAATAAAAAATAAGCATTGCAAATTTTAACAGCTGCCTAATAAGATCATCTTGAACAGGCAAGGCAGCTTTACATGTACACCTTGCAGATACATACAAGTTTTAGAATTAATATGTTTCAGCTTAATACATCAGTTATAGATTTTGTACTATGCTTTTTTTTTCCATTCAATATGAAAATAGTTGTTTGTACACGTATTGTACTTTATTTTTAGGGTCTCCACGTTACAGATGAAGATATCGAATTGCAAGAAAAAAAAGTTTTGGAAGCTAGAGAACGCTTAAAAGAAGCTCTTAATGAATGAACGATGCATCATGGAATGCTGCACTATTTTCATTAAGGTATGATTAGTAATATTTCATTTATAAATTTAATTTTATTAAATTTTCCAATAATGTGTAATGAAAAATTTTGAGGCAAGTTTTTGTTGATTTTCCTCCTTAATTTGGAAAAAGGTTTCATTAATTAAAACAGTGCATGGTAATGAGTTAGAAAAGTTTTAACACTAGAATTTCTGGAGAAAAATAAATAGAAGTGTTATGTATAAATTTGTAGACTGCTACTGGTTTGTAGAGATCTCCTTAAATAATTATGTCACATCAACAGGAAAATTTAAAACTTGTTTTCTAGCTCAAGATGAATAACAACTCATACAGGTAGGATACATTGTTAAATGTAAATTGATAATACGGAGATAACCTGGAGTTCTCCTAAACATGTAATGATTATTGCAAACCATAAAATCAGAATAAAGTTTAAAGCATTGAATCATAAGCTTAATAGCATAACAGTTTGCAAATACTCTTGATCTTAACTGATTTAGACTCCAATGCAGAATATGCTAAAAATTGTAGTATGCATTGAAAAACAAATTACTTCCCTGCAGACTATTTTATTCAGGCTGGTGTTGGTTCATGAAAGAATTCAGTCCAAATAATATAAGATTTGTGTGTGTTTTATTAAATGTTTTCTGCATTTTTATATATAAATATTTATTTCTGTATATACAGAGTAATATCATTCTTGAGCCGAAGAGGGTAGACTACACCTAAATAAATACTTTTCATCATACTTTGAATAGATGTAACTCAAGTAATGAAGTGATAAGGTTAGCAAACTTTACAACTAGAGAGGAAGAAATGGAAAAGTTAAAGAAATTTTATTGAACAAATTACAAAAGCTACTCTAAAGAGACCAACACAAATGTAAACTTCACACCTTTGATGTAGAGACTGGCATATATTGGCAAAAACACCATTTTTTGAATAGTGGCTATAGAAATTCTGGTAACAAAATCCTCATTGGAATCACCGGGGCTGTTGTATAAAGGTTTTTTGAATAAAACTAATAGGAAAAGTCCAGATATGAAAAAACAGCCATTTTGTCAAGCAAATTGGATCACCTGACCATTCCATTGTCCTGTGAATGCTATATCTAAGGTATTCTGTATGCTCATGCTGAAATGGGGTGGCACTTCTTCGTGTTTGAATCACATGTGTGTTCTAATGTTTACTGTAAAGAATTCGGAAATTCTGGCAAATCCTGCAAGAATACAAAGTTTGCCTCCATCAGCGTGACAAAAGATATGGGGCAATCAAATGATCAGGGAGAATTTTCATCTAAAGCATTTATTGAGAAACACAGTTACCATAATATGGACTTGTAGTATATAAATTCCTGTTGCCCACACATAGGAATTATGGGAACTAAAAATTCTGTCATGTGCATTTGTGCATAAATTAAACATCAATAGCAACATTTATATATGATCTGACACAGTCTTTAGGTTGCTTTTGCATTTCCATCTGCTACTCTGTAAATGGAATTCATGTTCGTTTTACCATGATTCATAAAATAACTCATTCCTTCCAAAATACATGATGACAAAGATGATTGATGAGTGCAAAAACCAATACATATGCCTTTTCTGCTAAGCATCCTCTGTCACTTCGCTGCTTGAGTTATGTATTGTATGAGAAAAAGTGAATTTTTAGGTATGTTCTTGTTGCCACTTAACCCTTTAGGCCCTGCTGGTGATGTTTGTCATCTTTATATGTAGAACTCTGTTTTATTGCTAGTGGGGACTGTTTTACTCTGGCGGCTTCTCTGCATGTGTTTTTGCACTTGGTTGCTTACCTTGAAACCTGATTGTGGGAATTACTACGGTATCCTGATTTCTACAAGCTCAAGTAGAAACCTGTTGATGTTGTAATGTTGTTGCAACAACATTACGTTAACAAGTTCCTACTAGTACTAGTTGTAAGTGAGTTCTAATACCTGTAAACAATATTTCATAGACTATTATTATTTAAAATGCTTGAGTTTGTTTCTGTTCTGTATATATAGACAGAAATTATAATAAAAAAAAAATTAAAAAATCTAAACAAAAAAAGAATAAAAATTCAAATGATTCAGAGGAAATAAACATGTATTCGACACTCATTAATCAACTTGGTTTAAGACTTCAAAACACTTATCCCTTGACAAGTTCTGTTTGAAGCATTAAACAGAGTGAGATTAAAACTTTTATTATTTTTGATTTTGTTATGTACAAATTTCATGTATTTTAAATAATTTTTCTCCTTGAAGTGTAAATTGTAGGATTTTGTAATTTTCTTTAATTTGCATTCTACTAGTTTATAAGGAAACCTGAAGAAATTTGGTTGAACCTTCAAACTTTAAGTATGGAATTTTATTCTTTTTTGTTCCGATTTTTTAAATTTTTATAATTTTTAATTATGCAGCACATAGCACAGATTAGTCTCATTGTTTTTAATTTTAATTTTTGTTGTTTTCAACTTCTTTAAAAAATATACATGTATATATATATATATATTCTCAAGTGCATATCAGTTTGTAATGGATTCAATGCACACATAATTGATTATAGCTTAATAAAATTTAATTTCTAAAAAAAACTTAACAGTCCTGCAGCTTTTTACATAAGTACTTGTACAGCTCTTCTCAGTATGCCAAAGCATGATCAGTAGTTACCACTAAGAATGTTAAACACAACACAATGCAAAGCGCATCTACAGAGCGAAGCTCACACGGATATTTCTCAGTATGGTGAACTCAATTCTGAACTGAGAACTAATGCTCTTTCCAGTCTTATATGGTTTCCCCCTTCCCCATTTGCTGAGAAATTTCCAGTAACTTTGATTCCTCGAAATTGCTGGAAAGCATTTACAGTTACACAGGATAAGATCAAAATACACTTGTTGAGTTTTCAGCAAATTTGGCGACAGAAATTAGTCACCAAAATCATTGCCAGGTTGGCACTATCTTGCCAGTTTCACAAGATAGCCATTTATCTGAATGTTAAATAGACCTGCCCCTGTATTCTTATTCTTCTGGAGGAGTTTCACTCTCCCGAGGCCTTTTATGTTACATTATACAAGTAATGCTACAATTTTACATCTAATTTTTCTATGTAACAGAACTATTTAGTCGTAACCGAACTATTTTATTGAACGCCATCTAATGGCATCTAAGACAGTCAACCTCCAGCTGCGATGTCGTCAGGTTGCCCTGTATTAAACATCTCGGTAATTCGAATGTTTAATGTTCTGTTTGGTATATGTTTTATTTTTATGAGGGTTGATCCAGAAATAAGTTTCCCATCAATGTTACTAATAGACAGCATTGTTTATTCTCATAGCAATGTACATCATTGGAAAGAAGACACTTTGTTATATTTTTTGACATAATTTCCATCTTTTTTCTACACATTTTTGTAGACAGTGCTCCAATTTCTATATCCCAATGTCGTAGAACTCTGCTACCATTCCGTTGAGGAAGCACTTCACCTCTTTGATTTCATCGTTGTTCCGAAAGCGTTGGCCACTGAAGCTTTCCTTTAACTTGGGGAACAAGTGATAATTGCTAGGTGCAAGGTCCGGACTGTATGGTGGGTGGGGTGTGACAGTCCACCCAAAGTTTGTCAGAAGGTCCTGGGTTTGATGGGAGATATGAGATTGGGTGTTGTCGTGAAGCAGTGTTACACCGGCTATTAGTAGTCCTCGTCAGCAGTTCTGAATAGCTCGCCTGAGTTTTCTTAGTATTGCACACTAAGAAGTTGATTGTTGTACCAGGTTCCATGAAATTGATCAGCAGTGTCCCCTTTAGGCCCTTACAATTCCAAAACGCACTGGCTATGACTGGCCAGCAGAAGGAATTTGTTTGAACTTCTTTGCGACTGGTGACCCTGAGTGACGCCATTGTTTGGACTTTTGTTTCATTTCAGGACCTAAATGAAACACCCATGTTTCATCTCCTATAACAATAGAATCCAACAATCCTTCCATGTCTTCTTGACACTGTTGAAGAAACTGGTAAGCACAGGCAAGGCGTTTCTCTTTATGTTCTGCTGCTAACATACGCGGTAACCAACGAGCACAACACTTGTAATACCCCAATTTTTCAGTCAACTCTCTTTCACAGAACTCCCAAGAAGCTGAGCAACAAGTTCATGAATGGTGATCGTCCTGTTTTGAAGCACTTCACGGTGAACCATCTCGATAATCGCCTCCAAAACTGATGGTCTTCCACTCCGTTCTTCGTCGTGAATGTCCTTCTAACTGGCACTAAACTCCCTGCACCACTTTTGGATGTGTTGAACGGACAAATACTTTTTGCCATACACCTCTGTCAACTGATGCTGAATATCCACGGGTGAAATCTCATCGGCATGCAAAAAGTGGATTGCGAACAAATCTCTCATTTCCCTCCAAATGAGAGAACAGTGGGCACCTCCATCTTGGATAGTTCCAGAGCCAAGACTAAGCAGTGCAGCAAAATGTGGCTGGGTGGAATCAAGAGTGGGGGAACAGCTGCGCACAGTGGTGTTGTCAGATTTTGCCTTGCACCTTCCCGTGTGGCTGGAGCTCTTTGAGAACCTTATTTCTGGATCGACCTTATGTATGTATATTTTCTTTGTACCCGTTCCTGTGTGCTTTGTTAATAAATACTTTTAGAGCTAGCTGGCATTTGTGTTTATTGCAAAACAGCTAAGCACACACACACACATATGTATATATATATATGTAATATTAAAAGCACAAGGAAAGAAAAAGCCGGAGCAGTGTAGATGCGTGCTTACATCCATATCGAAGAAGATTTTGATTGCGTAGTATGCTAGTAATGCTAACTTGGTAACATCTAAAGAACTTGGCAGTCGAGGCAGTTTTAATTCCATTTTTATTTCCAATTGATATTTGTGGCCACAATCACTTGGCACTCTAGTCGTGCCTTTCCACAGAAGATTTACATTTTTATATATTGTTAAGATAGAAAGCAAGCCAGCGAAATTACAGCTTAGCAGAGTAGAGGGCAAAAGCTGAAGTACGTAGTTATGAAAGATGCAAGCACGCGAAGAGAAACGTTTTGGTTTACAATTTGGTGATTGGTCGTCAAGAGGCATATGGTATTAACGGTTACGTAAGATCGCATGATTAATTTGAATGACGCAGTTTAGACTTAAGCGCTATTTTTAGGACAGATAGAGGAAGTTCTCAAATGAAATAGAAAATAATGGAAATTAAGTTTAGAAGTTTGCTTTCATATTTTTTATCTTACATATTCCCCCCTTCAAAAAAGAAAAAGGCGTAGCGACAGACAGAGAAGCCTTTTTAAAGAGAAAGAGTTAAAACACTAGCAAATTAAAAAAAAATATAAATAAATAATAAAATTTTGATCCTGTAAAGTATTATTTATAAATATCATTTTTTTTTTTTTTAAAATAAATTCTTAATTTTTAGAGTCCTATTGAATTTTTTCAACATTTAGTCCAAAAGTCTTTTTGTTTGAGAGTTCACATAATCATAATTCTTCAGAGAAAGTTCTTGTTATCGCAGAATATCACAAAAAATAAACTTTTACATACATAATCATTACTTATAATTAAATGTAATGCACATAAATATTTATGATATTAATTTTCATATTGATAAATTATATTTTAATACTAGATATATAATAGAAGTAAGCTTCTGAAATTATTATGGTTTCAACCGTTATCATCTTTCATTTACAATTCCTGATTTACCAAAACTGGGATTCGCCTCGCACTTCTAAATAAACAAACATATCCATCAATAGGGCTGTGTCCTCTTGAGCTAACCAGTGTGTTTCTCTGCAACTGGTGGCCCAGGGTGCCTAGGCAGTTACTTGAAAAGGCCTCCGTTCCTTGCATTAAGGTAACTGGCCTTTGAGAACTGCATTAATACATTCCATAATAATATAAAAAATTTACATGCATTCATAAAATGAGAGCCTCCAACATTATCTTGCATGAAGAGGGTAAAAGGAACAACTGTACAGAGGTAATTACAGGCCAGTACACCCTCATCATACTATACTTAACACACAATAACCCATAAATTTTAACATGCATTTACCATAATTTCATATTACTTATCTGTAATAATTTCACTCCTTTTTTTTACACCTACTTCATTTTTAGAATAATTATAAAATTTGTATTCAAAATTCTCAACAAAATTTCAAAAAACATAAAAAACTTATCTTAATATCCTTCCCTATGAATAATTTAAATAGCTTAAAATTAATTACTTAATTTGCTCACACATAACTATGAAAAATTAGAAAAATTAATGAACAAGAATTTCAGATTTTCTCAAAACAAATTGCAGAAATTTTAACCAAAGTTGAAATGAAAACTATAGAATTCGCAGCATATTAAATGATTTAGTTCCTGAGTTAGATTCACACGAATGTAACAATTTTTGAGCTGTTGAAAAAGCAGAAGCGCAAATAATTTTCTGTCGCACATACTTGCAAACACTTAACTCAGATCGACCTTGAACCTGCTGTAATGCTGAATTCCTAAACGGTAATACACTGATGATTTAAAGCACTCTTTTTCTAAATATTGTAGACATCGGCGAAGCACTTGCAAAACACCATAGCAGAAGAATGATCTGTTATTTTTTAAACACTGAAAAAACAAACTTGATGATTCACTTATTTCACATTATCTTGGATTTATCACAAAACGATGATTTGAAGAGCTGAACTAAATTTTCCATTGAGGTTTCAGGCTGCAGGAAACTATCCTTACCGGCTTAATTGGCAGTAGAATTTTTTATCTTACATATATATATTTACATTTTAATTCTTTTATATTACTTAAACTTAGGGACAATAAAGTTCTTTAATTACTGGTTATAATAATATGTCATGATGGGAACAGTCAATTTCATATGAGCAAATCTGTTTTAATTGTATCAGTGCTTTTAAGTGTCCATATTATTTTGTTTCATATTGTTAATTTTTAGTAGTAAATATCTGATTGACGACTGTAATGTAGCACATTACATATAAAGTGCTTTTTTCTTCCTTTCTAGTTTGGTGATTTAGGAAGGTTCTGCTACAATGCTGATATGCAGATGGCTTGAATGAAGAACTCATATCACATACATGCAGATTGCATAATTAAAGCACTCTGTAAATATTTTCATATGCAGTTGACAAGTACAAATAACTTTTTTATGATCATTTACATTCAATGATTAAAATATGTATTGTTTGAAAGTGATGTCGAATATTAAAACTAGTAATAGAAAATATTTGTATAAAAATTTTCCTACAACAACCAGTATCTTCCAGTTCCCATGCTTATCTTGAAGGGGCAGTTGTTGTATACATTAAGATTTTCATTAAGTTTATTTGAGAAAGTTATGTAAATTTTGGGGACAACAATCATCTAAAATAGTGTGATTTTATGTACCTCAAATAATAGGAAAACCTGGATGAAGCCAATGACCAGAGCCATTTTTAATAAAACAGTCAATGTTTTATATGGTACAATTACACTTTTAAGTTTCTTTTATACTTTATTGAATTCAATACTATATAAAAACAAAGCATCTTTACTGTAGTACAGTAGTTATTATGCTAATTAACTTTTGTAGTACATGAGTTATTTTACTACTACTCATATGATAGTTCTAAGGATAAAATTCATGTATATTATTGTTCTTACATTTTAATATGAATAGTCAGTTTCATATTGAAATTTAAAATAAAATGAATAAAGGAAACAAAAATTAATAATTTTGTAATGCTGTTTATTGTTTTTCTTTTTCTTGAAACATACTCTAATTATTTTATTTATTTATTTTTTTATACTGAGATTACTTTCCCCATTACTGCAGTGTTGCCCAGTCACCTGAACATCAAACTATCAGTGATGTATCATCTTTTTACAGTTTAGTAAATAAAAGTAAAGTTTTAATGGCAGTCATGCTACCTATATGAAACCCTAATGTCTGCATTCTTCATATATACAGTAGCATTAATAGTAAATCTTTTGTGTGTTCTAAGAACTGTGTATTCACCTGAGATAAGTAAAACCTTGACTAACTGGGATTTTTCTAAGGCTACTAGATTTGCTACCTGAAATCATGTCATCTACATTTATTCACCACTTGACAAGCTTCCTTACTTTTCCTATTATCACCAAGTGTTGCAAAATAGTTGAAACATATATTTAGTGCATGGGCAATATCTTACACATACTTTCATGGATCTGATTCGATTAAATCATTTAATTTATTCAAATCAATAGAGGAAGAACAAAGGCTACAGATTTCATTTTGTAGCCTTAAATCTCCTGAGTGAAATTTTGCAAACCAACAGTGAATGGATCACCGATTAATTGTCACTTACCATTAGTGGCATCAGCTCATTTTGTATAACCAAAAATAATAGTAGCAAAACCTTGTACCTGTAAAAGGGATAAATTTAGGGTCAGGATGATGAAACTTTATACATGTACACTGAAAAAAAAAGGGGGAGACATCTCTTGTTCTACTAGGTCGATTGATGAAATTGAAACTGCGTTTTCCATGTCTTGAAAGTGCAACTTAGGATATATATTAGATTTATATATAGCATTGCTTTAACATAGGTATTTTGACACAAAATTGGACCTTTTTCTGAAATAACATACCATTTTTTTCCACATTTCGATTCTACAACTCAAATTATGTGGAATGTAGAAATTAAATGTGAAAATAATATAGAAATTAAATTTTGCAATTTTTGGTGAGAAATTTATGGAGAAATTAAAAAATGTATCTTGGCAATTTTTTTTTCAGTTTGAGCCAAGAATGATTCACTTGGCGAACTTCTTAATTTATAGCAACCTATTCTCCTTTCTTTTTTTTCACTGTCCATGAGCATGGAAAAAGAGTCATCATTCATACTTTCAAATAATTTTAACAAAGTGCATAAACCATGTTTTCGTTACTATCCCTTATAATAAATATGCCAAATTTCAAAACACACTAAAATGTAAATTCACTTATATCTTAGGAAATTTTTTTTTGGTTGGGGGGAAAAAAGATGTTTGTGATTTGTTTCATAATGCTGTTTTACAGGCAGTGTTGTACATATGACTGTTCCAGAACACGGAACACACACCACTTTATCCCTTTATTAATCAGGCCATAATATTCTCAGTCCACCAAGTTTGAAATTCTCTATTATACTTATTATGCAATTTTTGTTATTTTTGTCAAATTAGCCATGTTGAATAATAACTTATTTAAGCAACTGAATATAACTCGCACAAACTTCAGCAAAATGTTATGTTAATAAAATTAGTTTAAAAGCGATTGACTATGATTAATTTTGATGTTTAAAATGACTATGATGTTTATGATGACTATGATGACTATGATGTTTAAAAGCGATTAACTATGATTAATTACATCTGACTTAAGTACACTTTAATAAAAAGAAATAAGTGAATAGCTAGCTTTGTGCCCATCCCATTGCCCTCGTGCACTCAGTCCCGTTTGAGCAAAAGGACAGAGCTAGCAACGATTGCTGCTCACAAGAAAACAGTTTTGAAAGTGGTTAGGCATTGACTGTGCTGATAGTGGCTTAAGTTCCTCAAATAGTGGCGTGCCCAAATTTTTTCTTGCATGCCATTGCTGGGCATAAAACTTTGAATATGAAAATAAAAACTAGTTGCTTTTTTTTTTTTTTAATATGATGTCTTCAGGGTTTAATTTCTAAAATTAGAAGTGCCGGAACCCTATGGAAGACCGTCAGGAAAGAGAAACAAGAATAAATAAATGAATAAATAAAATGACTAATAAAATCATTAATAAAGAATAATAATAATAAAATACTAAAAACTTTCAGATTTTATATCACGCCCATAGGGCTATTTTTTTCATTTGCATACACGTTTCGAGAGCATTTGAATAATGTTCCTTTGGGCTAAAAATATTTAACAACAACCTATCTGTAGAATTTTCTATAGACAGTCTTGTGCACTAGAGATAAAAATGTCCAGCCCCCTCCGGTACAGTGTTGCCACTGCTCGCTTTGAAATTGTTGAGTTTTTTAATCAAAAATTTGTTAAAGTTTTACAAAATTTGAAATACAAAATAAAATATTTAAAAACAGCATATCTTTAGAATTTCCTATAGACAGTCACGCATGCTGGAGATAAAAATGTTTTTTCATACAGTGTCGCCATTGCTTGCTTTCAAATCATTGAGTTTGTTAATCAAAAATTTGTGAAAGTTTTGCAAAATATGAAATGCACAATAAAACAAATTCAGAATTTGGGCTTCCAGAATTTGGGCTTTACATTATCCAAAATCTGATGGCTCTAGGTACCATTGTTTTTTCACAAAGTGAAAAACATGCATACATTCTGGCAAATCCTTCATTATTTACTTTCTTTAAATATAATACAGAGCGATAACATTTGGTGGGAACAATTTGAAAAGTGATTCAGGCTTTTATATTCATTCAACACAAAACCCCTTTTTGAGACTAAATAGCCCTTCTGGGCTAACGATCTTTAATAATTAATTACTACAATAATTAAATAATTAACGATTAAAGTAATAAAAATTTAATAAAATGTACATATAAAAATTGAAGTTTAATTAGCGATTTTTAATACATTTTTATTAATGAAAATAAAATTTTCGACATCAAATTTGTACTGAAATTGTTGTTCAGTTGCATAAAAAAAAAAATGCCAGAGCCTTCTCATTTAGGGCTTGGGTGCGCCCTAGCTAGAATTATGCTTTATCCCCCAAACTAAAAAGTCTCGAAGCCGGGCTCCGCCGCAATTTAGGCTTTGCATGATTTGCTTAAATAAACTGAGCATACGTCTTTGCGCAAAAGCAAAGAATGAATAACATTTCAAGGAATGACAGCATTGGAATTGAATCTCATATTATGAGAACTAATCAATTCACTTTGAAATTCTGCCTCTTCAGTGTTAATATAAGCAGAGAAAATATGCGGCAGCGATTGCCATTTTATCAGAAAACTTTGAAAATAGATTTTAAAAGATTATATATATATATATATATAAAAAAAAAACAGTTGTATTACAAGATCTTTGTTACTTCATTAGTAATTAACATCAAGGTTATGTTAGGTTAGTTGAATATGGCAAAGCACTCGGGCTATCTGGGTGAGGAAGGGATGCCTTTGTGGAGGACTTAAGGGATACTGGCTTATATTCACGTTACGTATGGGAAAAACACAGAAACCAACCACGCAGCCAGCTCGTTTTTTAGGATCGAATTCACAGCATTCAGCGGTCTTAACTCGGCCACTAGTGCGGCTCAATCAGCATCAAACTTATCTACGAACTTGCAAATGAATGAATATATGCGGCTGCAGTCAGATATGCAGCATAAAGACGTTTCTTTCTGAAACTAGATTTACAAGCACCTTTTTTTTTTTTCCCTTTTTCTTATATGAAGTATTAAAACAGTAAAATGTTAAAAAAATTTTAAATGAACATCCGCGTAATCGTACCACATCTATCAAACTCGTATTAGTTTTTAAGAAACAGACTCGATTTCTCGTGTTAGAATCGTCGTTGATGTCGTCATACGGCAGTGCTAGGTTCGCCGATACGTGAGTTTGGCATGTAATTCTAAGGTTTGCATGCGGACCCTTGCGTTTTGAGGTAGCTGTAAAACGAATCCTGAACTAAGTAGATATCAATTTGAAATGGCCTAGCATTAAACATTCTAAGTTTTGAAAGCGCCCCTTTTTTAGCTAATGATGTTTTAGGTTGGTAGGTTCCAATCTGATTCTGATTGGCAATTTAAAATCTGTATCTGCTTTTATTAACTGCTCTTCTCTAATCCTTTAAAAGACCACCTGAAGAAAAAGCACTTACGAAATACCAATCCTGTTTAAGGAAATTTATTACAAATGAAACACTTTCTACCTGTGTTACATGGAACATCCGGTCTCAGCAACAGATGAGCTGAGACCATTGCGACGGCTAGATAGACCACCAGCTATAAAGTGATACAGCACAAGACTGTATTTATGGCTAATGAAATTAATGCTGGTGAACTACATGAAAATGAAGCAAATGATTGGGGTCATACAACAAGCAACTTCATAAATTCGGAAGAGTTAGAGAACGAACTGCAGCGACAAAAACCACATGAATTCGAGAAGACTAATTAGCAACTTTTGAACAATTGAAATCAAAATACTTTGCGTCAGCCTACTATTTTTTCTTGTTTATTTTTTCCTCCCTTTGATACTTTTCTGCCAATTCTTATAATTATTTAATATGTTTTCTACCATATAACGCTTAAAAACGCTTAATAAATATAAAGATAATTCACATTCAATGGAAGAACCTCCAGTTGCTTGATATCAGTTTCTCTTTCTGTTTGGATAGCCTATAACTGAAAATGTAAAGCGACCGAGATCTATCTGTCATAATTCTTCTTGGTGGTAAATAACACTGCACATAATTGTTTACTCAATTTTCATTTATTTATAAAAAAATGGGTGTTTTATTTACTCTCAAGTTTGTTTTTCACGCTTTCATTGTACTGCACACTCAAGTGTCTTCATTACTCATGAAACTCCGTAATTCTCAGCGGATTAGAGACCTTTTACCATATATTGGAATCGCAAATTCAATTGCAGAAATATTAAATTATTTAATTTTAAAATACGTGTGTAATTCTCAAGGTCGATTGGCGAAATATTTTAATGAATTTTACATCATAAAATTAAAATTTTGCATTTATTTGAAATTTTACTCTGACTGCATCATTAAAAATGATCAGAGTACCAATTCAGGCTGTTCTCTCGTCAACAGATGGCAGCACATGCATCGGGCGAAAATACTCTCATTCCTACGGGCGAAAGTGCAGTTGCACTTCATTATTTTTAATATTACCGTAAATAGCCTAAAAACATCAATTTAAATTCTCCATGATGAACAAACAAATCGGTTCTTAAGACCCTAGGAAAACAGCCCTATTCTCATATAACTTGCACATAACATTTAGAATATTGAATAGCGTAAGGAAAGAAAATCTGCCAGTTGATGCAAGAAGTCAATCGAGAATTCAAGCAGCTGGCGCCATCTTTCGATTGTTGAGTAGTTAGGAGATATCATGGATTAACTCTTAAGTCAGAGACTAATGCGTAAAAATTAATCAATTTGAATTTTCTGGTCAAAACTAAATTAAGTTATATGCCAGTAGCACAGCTAAAATCCAAGGTACGAAAGAAAAGGAAATGCTTTTGTTTAAAAACCCTGTGTTTAGAGAATTTCTAAAATTAGGAGTGCTGGAGCCCAATGGAAGACTGTGAGGAACGAAAGAAAAATAAATAAATAAAATAGCTAAAAAATTAAAATAATTAAATTTAAATTAAGATAAATGGAAAGAGATAATTAGAAATCTAATAAATTATTAAATTAGTTTTGAATAGTGAAATAGGAAAAAAAAAAAAAAAAAATATCGAGCTTTGTTTTATTTGCATCGGCTGGAATTAAAATTCCGCTTAGAAGTTTATAAGAGCTCAGCCGATCTCCGTCTGGTTTAAGCCCTAATTATACGTGTAATGTACTATTCTAAGTGATGACAAGTACTACTCTTTATTTATTTATTTATTTATTTTTGTAGCATACCAAGGAAAAAAATCAAAACGATTAAAGCTCCACTAATGAGAAATATAATGTCATCAATCGAATAGAATGACTCTGAAAATGAATTCTATAGATAACATACTTGAGCGTGATCATACAGATGTTTTGTCAAATAAAGAATCCGGAAAAACAATGGTTGTACATTCACCTATATACGTACATACATATATATGTATATACACATATTTGACGCTGCCGATTGCAATAAAAAAGAAAGATGCATAACTAGATGTTATAGCAGTACCATATACAAAATTTCAACGTTCTACGGCCAGTCTTTTTTGAGTTATGTGAAATACATACGTACGTACAGACGGGTCACGAAAAAATTCTGAATCTATTTTAAAATCCCCTTTGGAAAAAAAGAGTCCTTTATCCTGTCTGTACGTACAAATGGTTAGAATAACTGACACAATATGTTATTGCCACGTTAATTCTTTTACTGATATTGAGAAAAGTTGTTATATTAAATTAAATTTAAATCATGACACCATACGTATACGTATTAACATAAAGTGTTAAAAGGTTTTGTTTCCTGGTTTGGCAACAAAAAAATTATTTGCGAATTGTTTGTTACTTGGAATAATTCATTCATGTTTTTATACACTTTCTTTTCAGGTGTACATAGGACTTTTAAATTTTTCTTTCGGCTCAGCCCGCTAGTATTCTATAAAAATAGAAAATAGGGTAGTTCTGTGTTTTCTCTTTGAAATGTATAAAAATTAATTCGAAATATAAATTATGCATTTATTTAATTAAAATTATGGCTTAAAATAAGATCTTGTTTCTTCTGTTAAATAAATATACATTTTTAATAAAGTATTGCCAAAATCAGTAAACTTTTGTTGTACGATGTTTCTAAGAACAATTCCTTGATTAGGTATAGTCTAACCTACACTCTATAGCAATTTCAACTTAGTTTCAGCTGTTAAGGTCTAGAATAAATGTTTTAGTTATCAATGATAAAAAGAACAATGGTATTTTGAAGTCAAAGTCACATATAGATTTATAAATGATCATTGTTAAAAAAATATTCCTCCGAGTACAAAACTGTTTTTTTTTTTTTTTTTTTTTTTTTTTGCTGGACAATTTTTTTCTCAAAAAGGAAAGATTTTATATGTGCTGATGTTACGTCTGATATATAATACATGAGATATAGCAGCCGCCGTTGCGACCTAAATACAAAAACAAATTACTTTTGGAAAATTCTATACAGGCCTCATCTTGGAATAGACTTCAAGTCTTCTGGCAGTTAACATCAGCTGAAGCATTCTTCTGACAGCTCCAATGACTAGAAAAGAATGAAAAAAGTTCGGAACATTAACAAGTTTGACAAGAAACAAATTACAAGCATTAAGATCTCTGAAAAGCTGTTGACAGGAAAGCTGTGATTACACGTTTTCTGGTGCTTGTGGAAAATATCGGGCAAGGAGCTACAACAATTTCACAAATAATTCATATGTTAAATATTTTTACATTTAAATGGGAGCTGAGGAGGCTTTTATCTATGCTTTTAGATTGGATGATAATAAGATGTTTTTTTGTGCTTCCTTATGAAGTAATGGAAGTGTAATTGCGAATAATTTCGGGTATCATATTTCAACGAAAATAGCCATTCTGACCGCTCTCGAATCTATTTGAATGGTTTTTTTTATATGACATCTGTATGTACGGGTAGAATAAATGACTTTTTTTCAAAAGAGATTGTATAATGGATTTAAAATGGATTCAGAAGAGAATATCGCAAATTTTTGAACACTTCACATGCTGCAAAACAACTTCAAAAACACTAAAATATTTTTAAAATATCAATTCCCAAAGAAAGATTCAAATATTTTTGCAGTACTTCCGAAGTTGTATCATTTCAATTTAACTTAAAAGACATCTTAACCAACTAGCTTTATTACACGATTTAATACATTTCTTATACTTTTTTTACGAAGATGGAAATTTATACTTCGCTTATGCAAACTGTTATATTGAATCAATTAAATTTTATACTCATATTAATTAGCACTTGATTAGTGCGCAAAACTATTTTAAGTGCCATAGTCAGTGTTCATATATAGTCTTAGTATCCATCCAGCTTGCCTAATAATACAGTTACACGGCGCAAACTCGAAGAAAAAACTGAATAACTTAAACCATATACAGAACACACAGCATTTTCAAGAGTTACTTAAAATATGCATTTAATTGTTGAAAAAGTAACCATAGCTTATATAATCATATACACATTTCTTATATTCAACAGATTTCTGAATACATATTTTCACTTATTTTAATTCAGGACCTTATTAAGGAAAAGCATCAAAAGATAATTAATATTCACATTATCTTTAATGTTAGAGTCTATTAATTATTTTATCAAAAGGATAATGTCTATTCATACACGGCAAGTAAATATATTACAATATACATCAGTCTTCGCTTAGATCTGAAAATCCTATGTAAGTGATGCACTTATGTAGAACACACTCCTCTTAAATATTCAAATGATATAAATACTGCAGAAAATTCAATCAAAAATATCTAACTGTAAAAAGCATGTTATTTCAATAATTTTAGTCATTAAAGTATCTGCTAGCTTAGATTCTTTAAGAATAATTTACGAATGTAATTTAGTTCAATCGTATTCGAATTTTGAAGCAGAGGCAGAAATACTTTGTGAGTTAATGTTGCTCGTGGTGAAAGAAACTTTCATATTTAATTACATCCAACCAATCCTCACTAGATAATAAAATATCAGCAGTCTCATATTGTAGCTCAAGTTTGATATTGTAGCTCAAGTTTGATAATATTCTCTTTCAATTTTCAATGCTTTATGAATATGGAAGTAGTAGCTACAAAAATAAATAAAGAAGCAAAAACTACATATTTCCCAGATCCAAAATATTGAACAAATGCTTTGATATACTTCAGAAACGTTCCAAAAGGTATTAAAGTTTTAGGAATGAAAAGTTTTCTTTGCTAGAATCATTAGAAAATGCAAGCAGTACTCTACAAGAACTTTAGCAAATTTCTAATAATATAAAAATTTGGTAAGATCTCTATTACGTGAAGAAAAACTTTCAAGCATGGACATTCTTTCTGTAGAATATGAATACAGTGATCATGTAGATTCTTAAATAAATAAATAAATAAATAAATAAATAAATAAATAAATAAAATAAATAAATAATAAAAAAGTTTGAAAGGTTTCAGATTTTAAATTACGTCCAAAGGGGCGCTTTTTTAACGTTTTCTCTGTGTTATTTTTTATTTATAAATATTACGTTCTTTGCACTTAAACCATGAAATTCAGTTCAATAGTAATGTCGCAAAATAATACTTTAAAATGAGCACTATCTTTAGAATTTCAGATACACAGTCTCGCACGCTGGAGATAAAAAGGTATTCTTTTTCTCTGTACAGTTGTTGCCATTGCTCGCTTTGAAATCCAGTTGAGTTTGTTAATCAAAAATTCGTTAAAGTTTTACAAAATATGAAAATAGATAATAAAACAAATTCCAAATTTCCAAATTTGGATCTTCCACGTGCCCATATTCGTAGGAGGATTACGTCATTCAAAATTCGATGGCTCTAGGTACCGTTGTTTTATCACAATGCGAGGAATGTACCTACATTTACGCAGATTTTTCATTATTTAATTTCTTCAAATATAATGCAGGATTATAATATTTGTTGGCAACAGTTTGAAAAGTGAAACGGACATTTATAGTGATTCAACGCAAAATCGCAAACAAAAACAATAGTCCTTCAGGGAAAAAGCTCCTTTGGACTAAGAAAAGTTCGACCGCCCCCCCCCCAAAAAAAAATAAATTAGAAACATTTCTTGAAAAATTAGTGCAATGCTTTTGATATTAGTTACATGACAATTTATCTCATTTCAATATTAATTTCCGTTCATCGTAAAGGAAGATTTTTATGTGTGACGTTTCACCGAAATGTTGTGACGCCAGCTATTAAATAAAAATTATAGAAACGCACAATTACCAGCCAGCCTGGACCTGGTTTCAAAGCAAAGCTTTCTTTCAAAAAATGGATATAATTCAACAGTTTTTATCTAACTTAAGCAAACAGTACAAGCTTACCTAGACCGTAACAGACTTCAGACCCACATTTATCAAAACAGGATCTAACTGCACTCTAAAGTATTCCCAGCAAAACCAGCATTAGCGTTGTCAACAGTATTTTTTTCCAACTGGTAGGGTAGCGAAACGCAGAACAAAATTCTCACACGCTATACGGATAAAGAAGTTGCTTATGTGGCCCAGAAGGAGCCTTAATAAGCTATATAAGAGAATTAAACTCTGAGAGCGCAAGGCTTTGACGAGTTAGCAGTTTAAACTCTAGGAACGGTCAATAAAGTAAGGTAAAAGGGGGGAGACCATTGTATCCTGTACTATATGTGTGCCAATTTAATGAAAAGCGACGAGAGACAAAAGTCATGCCTCGCAAGAAAAAGTAAACGTTTGCAGTTAAAGCTAGGTTACAAAGTTGTGATTTGCTTTAGTAAATAAGAACTTCTGAAAAACTTGCAGCACAATTAAGTCCAGTTTTGAAAACACACTTATTAAGTGGAATAATGTGTTCTAATATGGGGTTGAGGCCATCATAGATCAGTTTGTTTCTAATCAGGTAATGAGCATTTATAATTCTTCTCAGAAATTTACTCTATCCTACTCGAAGTTTGTGTAATTCTGCCTTTGAGGCTAACGCCCAGGCTGCGGGTGCGTAGCATAGAATTGGCCTTATAATGCATAGGTGTATCCTTCTCGTTTTGTCGAGATACAGTCCAGAATATTTTCTAATGAGTACAGAAAGTTAATTGGTGATACAATAGGCTTTCCCTACGACGTGCTTAATGGGATAAGTCCATGTGAGCCTTTGGTTAATGATCACCTCTAGATAGCTTATATTATTTACTCGGTTCACAATTTCCCCGCATAAGTATATGCTGTTCAACGTTATTTTCCGAATCTTGCGTCTCCTTAGCAAAAGAAGCTCAGACTTTGAGGCATTTATGCTGATTCTCCATTTTCTGCACCAGTCCTTAATATCTAAAATGAAATCACGGAGTTTGGAGATGACATTATAGGGTTGGATAAAGCTCGTGTCACCACTATATCGTTGACATATAGCTAACATATAACATAGAGTTATTATCCAGTTTATCTGTGGGAAATTTCATTACGTAAAACAGATGGAGAATAGGCGCAAGACAGAAATAATGAGGCACTCCTGCAGTGATGTTTTTGAAGGCTGACACTTTCCTTTATTGACGCTAAAAGTTGGGCCTGTAAGGAAGGTATTAAGGAGAAGAATAATTTCCGGACTAAAGTTCATCTTGATCGGTTTGTAGATCAACTCCTTATGCCAGATGCGGTCGAGTGCTTTTGCCACGTACAGCAATACTCACACTCTATTCGTAAGCTCTAAACTTTATATGAAATCTGCTTGCAAATCAAATCTGCATAAATTGTGGAATGTGCAAACCTCGCGGTGAAAAGAGCCAGAAAGGAAATAAATAAAATAAAATAACATTTCGTTAGTAAAACTTAAACATAAGTGCCACGACGTCGAAGAATATAATCTCTTTAATCAGTAATTCTGTGGTAAGTGTAAAATTAATTTAAGATATGTCTATAGCAGCCATATGGTAAAAGGTTGCGTGAATAGATATAAAAAATTATATTAATTGGACCTAATTAAGTTGAAAGAAACTCATTTCTCAGGAGCTTTACTAGAAGTTTAATAAACGATATTCATAAACATATGTACCTGCATAATGTACCTAAGAAAAGATTTTGCCCTTCATTTTTAGATTTCTAATATTTCTATTAATGCTTGTAATTTCTCTAGATTTCCTATTGTTGAACATGCGTTTTTGGGAAGAAATTTAAACTTTTCTTCGCTAATTTGACAAAATATTTCATAAAATAAATGGTAATAGTGCATCTGTCAAGGAAAGTCTTGTAGATCAGAAGTCTTATTTTTAAAGGTTATTTTGGGCGGTCGCCTTTCAAACGGTTTTAAAAATATTTCATACTTGCTTAGCAAACAAATATCAGTACTTTATATTTATTCTTATGGATTCGAACTTTGATCTCTTTATCTGTCATTCTAGTGTTATTTTTCATGAACCTTAAGCAGTATCTGTTAACAATAAAGATTTTCAACTATTACTCAGCTGTTCCCTTCTCTACATGTTTTTGTAGATTACACAAAATTTATTCAATGAAGCTGCGAAAAGAAAATGTAAATAATTGAGGTGATTGATATGGGAGT